TTTTCGTTAGATCTCATGACTCGTAACTCTGATTGATGAGATTCAAAATGTTCTGCAGACTAGAAAACATTTCGGACAACTTTCATGTTTTGATAAAATTCTGATTCCCAGTTCCCACACCGTGGAAAAGCTTTTCCACATCATGGAAATTCGGAAAATTCCGTGGACGCGAAGAAACCATCTCCCACAGCGTGGCAAGCCTTTCTCCACGCCATGTCGGAGTTCTAACATATAAATTAAGATAAAAAAACCCAATGACATATCTTGAACCCTAATTAGTTCCTTACGATTATAAACCCTAGAGAAGTCATTTTGAGGGTCTAGAAGGCGGTCGGAGTGCTGTTAAACTGATCTGGAGCGAAGATCGGAAGGATTCAACAGCGGATTCATGTAAGGAATCATTCCATTTGCTATTATGACCATTATTAGCATTCTAATTGTTTCTATCCTTGTTTTACTTTCTGAATTAGGGTGTTAAAACCCTTTGCTTTGCGTTTATGATGAGATGAATCATTGAGATTATGGATTAAATTTCTATTTGGATTGTTTATTCTTGTTTAAATTATTTTGCATTGGAAATACACATCAAGTTTTCGGCTCCATTGATTGTGAACGGTTTTCAATTAATTTAGTTTATTTGATTATTCGTTATTTGTTTTTGCACTTTTTAGTTTTAGTTTTATTTTCTTTGATATCAACATCATGTCACTTGTCGGAAAGGTTTTTGTTGTTATGTGCATGAATTCGTGATCATACACATTGCCTGGTTTATATTTTTTTTCATGGGTTTCAAGATTGCAAGTGATTAGCGAATTCTTGACTTGCTTAGTCTACTACTTTGGTGATTTGTCCAACTCAATCCACGAGGCATATTATAGCAAGACGTATCGTGATGGTTAAGCGGAAGACCGAACTCTTTCTAGTCTTGACTAGTTGGGTCAATTTTTTTTCTACTTATTAGTTAATGGTGCAAAGAAACGAAAGGAAATAGCCAGACGTGTCGTGAAAGTTTTTTTTCTCACAAACCACTTCTTGCATGCAAAGAGATTTAATCAACATTTTGTTGCATGATTCCGACGAAGATGAGTGATCGTGATATTCTTTTTAGTTATTTTGGTTTGCTAGATTTGTATTTTAGTTATTTTAGTGTGATTTTTTTTAGTTTGTTTAATTTTGTTTTCCATGTTGATGCTCTTAATGTTTTAGATCTTTGCATAATTATATTGCCCTTCGGGTGCTTTCAATAAGTTTAGCGATTAGGATGAGAGAGTTTGAAGTTGATAATCCTGAGCCATGACTTTTAATAAGTGTAGGGTGCGCGTCGATTTCATGAGGGATTATTGTTATAATTCTAATAGTGGCAGTTCTAACTTCGGCGATTCCCACGATCTGGTTGACACTTTCCCATGTTGTGGTGAAACTTTTATCCGCGATTCAGAAGTCTCATCCCAACTGTCACGACATGGTTGACACTTTCCCACGTCGTGGGGGAGCCTTTCATCGTGAGTGGAGATTGGTATACTAGATATCACGACATGGTCGACACTTTCCCACATCGTGGTCATGTTATTGTTCGCGATTCAAATTTTTCCCCACTCGACATCACGATGTGGTTAACACTTTCCCACATCATGGTCACTGTTCATTGCATTATTTTGAAATCTTTTGCACCACATTTCAAAAGTCGGTGTTCTTGATTTTATTTTTTGGTACATTCAGAAGCAATGGGTCCAGTTTTTAGTTTCTGGAAAAATCAGAAGCATCATCATTCCAACTCATATTTTGAAGCAACCCACTACACCCGACTTCATTCTTGCGACTATATACACAAAGCGAGTTCGTTCCTTTTCTGCCTCTTTTATTTTCTATGTTTTAGTTGCTATTATATATAACGAGGGCATTGTATAATTTAAGTGTGGGGTATGTGGATTGGAAAAAGGACAACAAGCATGGTAGATAAAAAAAATTATGCTAGATTGGAAAATTTGAAAAAAGAGCCTTTAAAAAATGGACTTACATAAAAACTCTAGTAATTTTTTATTTTTTGATATTATTGCGTTAAAACTAAGTTTGCTAATGTTATGTGGGATAATGTGATGAAAATTCTAAGATTTAGGTTACCCCATATGTTATAATATATTTGTGGCTTCCCAGTACTAGTAAAAAATCATGAGACAAAAACACGAACTTGTGTAGTTTGAGAGACATTATATGTTTTGCATCATGTACTGAAATGTATCCAGGAAAAGTGATGTATTCATTTCACTTTAGACTAATGCCTTTAACCAATAAGCATTGGGGTTAAATTCCCTTGCTTAATCTTATGTTTTTCTTTTAGGTTTTTAGTTGAGAGGAAAAAAAATGAGTTATGAAAAAAAAGTGAAAAAAAGGGAAAAAAGGAAAAAAAAAAAGGAAAAAAAGTTGTCAATAAGTAGTTGAGTGAATAAAAGCTATCAAAGTATGAAGATCTTGAAGAAGTGAATAAATAAGACAAATTGCCAAAAGCCAAGGGATTATCTATTGTAATTTTTCTTTCTAGGTTATTTTATCATATGTATGCTTGAGAACTTAACAAAAATTACCTTGGGGTTAATAAAAGTTTCTGAAGATGTATTCAGAGGGATACATAAATGAATGTTGTTCAAAATAAGTGGGGAACGTTTATGAGGATTGTGAGTATTTAGGATTTGGGAAGTAGTTACGCTTTAGACATACATGTATGCATTGAGGGGAGACATAATTGGCAAATTCAATTTGGTTTATTCTGTGTGATATTGGTGAGAAAGGTTTTGATGTGTGGTATTGAAATGATCATAATGAATCTAGTTTTTTTTTTTGGGAAAAGAGGGCAACACCTCCAGTAAATGCATTAAAAGAAAAAAATACAGTACATGTTAGAATGGGATAACCAACTAACAGAAAGTCAGACCATTTGTTAGACCCCAAACGGCAACATAATTGAGAAAATTACACAAAAAAATACTAATACTCATAAAGCCCACAAGCCATAAGACTAGATAGCCGAAGATACACCACGACCCGTAAACAATATTAAGCAACATGACCATTATTGTTGATTGGAGGCCAATTGCTTGGCCTTTGAATTTTCCATTTTTTGTACACGTCTTCCACAGGGACTGACCATTTCAGGGGAACTCCACATAATTGAGCTTTCAAAGTGTTGAAAACTTCAATCGCAAGTTTAGCGTGGGCGGATGGTGGTACCATTGTGATGGCGTGAGTTCCTCTCTTTCCAAATAAAATGGATCGTGGCTGCCAAAGCAAGTCTCTCAGTGTCTCTTTGGATGTGATTAATTTGAAGGCGAAGAATATGATACTCGATTATTTGTTTCAACTTAAAATCAGGGATTTGGATGTTACACATATCAAACACTGTAGTCCAAATCTCATGCGAATACTGGCACTCAAAAAATAAATGGGTCGTCGAATCAGGCACCATCTTGCATAACAAACACTAGAGGTTCGCCGACTTTTGCCAGATAAGCATTCATTCCTGAGTCATTAATTTGTCATGTATGGCTAGCCAAAAAATAAAAGCATGGTTTGGTATGTTGAGCTTAAACCAAACCACCTTATAACATGAAACAACCGGGCTAGCGATCCTAATATCCTTCCAAACTTGAGTAGGAGAGAACTCAAAATTCTTTCCTTCCAAGTCCCGCCAATAAACCCCATCATCTTTGTTAACTTGATGACTAGGGAAACCCTGAAGGTGGATATTCGGAAAACGAAAGCCCCATCCCTAAGGCCACCACGAGCTATGATTACTGCAAAACTGGTTTAAGGTGAGTTCACTGGATAGCCCATGTATATTCCTCTCATCTTCCGGTATAATATTGATACCATAAATTGATACTAGTTCCATCCCTGGGTATTCTCCATATGTGTTTCTAGATCTTATCTCGCAAAGAAAGCATATTAGACCAAGAGAAAACCTTCTAGATCCTTGCTTTTAAGCACCCAGAGAGTTTGTTTTCTAAGATGGTGGATTTTTACCCAATCAACCCATAGAGAGACTTTTGTAGTAAAAAGTCTCCAAATCTGTCGAGATTAAAGAGCTTCATTCCAAGTGTTCAAATTGCGAATTTCCAATCCTCCTTTGTCTTTAAGTCTACACACCATTTTCCAAGCAATCTTAGCATTGGCTTTCTTCAAGTCACCACCACTCCATACGAAACCCTTAAAGACTTTTTTCAATATCTTTAATGGTTGTTTTGGGGAGGAGCAAAACCGAGCACTAATAAACCTGGAGGGATTGGAGCATAGAATTAATGAGTTGTAGTCTTCCGAAAAAATGACAGAGCTCTATGCTTCCAATTCTGAACTCGCACTTTCACTTTCTCCACCAGTTTGTTGCAATCCTTGACAAGCATTCTAGTACCAATCAAAGGAATAGCGAGATAGCGAACATGGAGCTTTTCTTCCACGAAACCCATAATATTCGAAATTTGGGCTTTTAAAGCATCATTGATATTGCCATAAAAAACTGAACTTTTCTGAGGATTAGGAATCAAACCCGACACTGCCTGGAACTCCTTCAAAGAGTCTTTGACCACCTGGACCGCCTGAATACTCCCATGGCTGAAAATTAACAGATCACCTGCAAAACAAAGATGAGTTAGTTTTTGCTTCCCGCACCTCCAGTGATACTTGTGTTTCGGATTTTTTTGTATACGCATTTTGATCATAAGGTTAAAAACCTCCATGATTAACATAAAGAGATAAGGCGACACTGGATCTCCCTATCTAAGCCCCCTGCTCCCCGTGAAATTCCCTTTATTTTCTCCATTAATGCTAATAGAGAAAGAAATGGTCGAAACACACTTCATTTTCCATTGACTCATTCTATGGTGGAAGCCGAAACCCCATAGAATTTGTTCCAAAAAACTCTAATTCACTGTATCATACGCTTTTTGGATGTCAACTTTTAGAGTGCATATGGAGCTGCCATGCTTACGAGTGTAACCTCTCATCAATTCCTATGAAAGAAGGATGTTATCAGTGATAGCTCTACCTGAAATGAAGGCTAATTGGTTCACATCAACCAGATTGTGTAGAGAAGAGGCCATCGTGGCCACGATGATCTTTGTAATGCATTTATAGATGACATTGCAACAAGATATAGGGTGAAAGTCCTTCATAGTATTAGGGACTTCCACCTTTGGGAGCAGGGCCAAGATCGTATGATTGACAGCTTGTAAAAGTTGTTCATTAAGAAAGAATTCTTTGACTGCTTTGCACACTTCTTTCCCCACTATGTTCCATGCCTTTTTAAAGAAAGTAGACGTGAACCAATCAGGTCCAGGTGCTTTATCATTCCCAATATCAAACATGGTCTGTTTGATTTCCTTATCTTCAAGTGGTCTAACCATCCAGTCTACCTCCTCATTCGTTAAGGTGTTGCTGAAAAGGTCGTTTGGTGAGACAAGAGGATCAACATCCCTAGCCTTCTCAAGGAAGTCAGAGAAATGAGCAACGGAAATATTAGCAACCTTATCATCCCCATGCACCACACCGTCCTCATCAGTGATGGAGTTAATTTTATTTATGCTTTGTCTTTCTTTAATGAATTTATGGTAATATTTATTATTCCTGTCTCCTTCTTTAAGCCAATTAAGTTTGACTTTTTGTCTTAGGAGGCATTCTTCTTCACATAAGGCTTTGGTGAATTCTTCCAGGTATACCGCATGTTCAACACTAATCTCTTCATTATCTGGTTCACGATCTAATTGTTCTTGGGCTATTTCAAGTTCGATTCTCAAAGCTTTCACCTTGTGTGACAGGTTTCCCAATTGTTTTCTAAGCTTACGTATGGGGGGTTTGAGTTTCTTTGGTTTTTGAAATACCAAGTACATGGAGTGACCTTCAACCCTATTTTCCTAAATCGATTGTACAATATCATGAAAATGGGGATGATTGGTAATATTATTAACAAACTTGAAGTCATAAAACTTTTTTGGATTGCCAATAGGAAAAATTATAAGAGAAGGAGAATGGTCCGAAATGCCATAAGGTTTGTGCATGGTCGTTAATTCCATTAGGTTTTGCATCGGGTACGGCATCCTTTATGACTGTATAACAGGTTCCCAGTGTTCATTGATTTTTGTAACATCCTAATTTTCAAGACCAAAAATTTCGTTTTTTATTAGTTAATTTATTAAAACCATTTCTGAAAAACAATATCGATATCATATCAAACTCATAGCCCATAAGTCAAATGTCATAAAAACATGTCATAGAATAATAATAATGTCAGAGTACAATCCCAAGGTCATCGTAGTGCAGAAATTAGGTGTGTGTGTAATGCGTTGCTGCCGTGCTAACTCCTTCCCGTTTGTTGTTGAGGTACCTAAAAACAAAATTGTAAACTATAAGCACGAAGCTTAGTGATTTACCCCATCATACCACATAACCTACTATAAACATACTGTCAGGCATATCTGGGTGCCCGACCTACCCTGCTAGGCATACCGGGGTGCCTAACCTACCCCTGTCAGACATACCAGAGTGTTCGACCTAACCCTCCGGTTTATCTCAACCGGTTACGGGGACTATTTCACCCCCTACTACTATCGCATACTGACACAACATAATCATATTGTCTAGCATAGTTGGTACTAACCTACCCCTTTGGCCCTATCGACCGATAACCGGGGACTATTCCCCTTATTACTACCACTATCACATATTACATATCATGCTAACACATAAACATACCAGGTAGTAGCAAAGTAGACGATTATCACAAAGACAATCATCTCAACTATAATCAACTACTAGTGGGCCGGGCTTGGTGCCTTAGACCCACTTCTACTGGAAGGTAACTCACATCGATGTCGTGTAGTGTCTGCACTGTCCTTGGTATGAAAATCAACTCTTCTCGACTCCTCAATCCCTACACAACATCCTTTCTACATTACCATTTCATACTCATAACCCTTACAAGGGTCACTCAATTCCAAGTCAAAGTCAAAGTCAAAACCCTGGTCAAGTCAACTTTGGTCAAAGTCAACATCTGGTTGAGTAGACTCGCCGAGTTGGTTCACCAACTCGTCGAGTCCCCACGTCCCCAAAATGCTACAACCCCGTCCCTACTCGTCGATTCTGGCAAGAGCTCGGCGAGTTTACCTTCAACAGAACATCGAGACCTTCTTCAATGGACTCGCCGAGTTCATCCTTGAACTCGTCGAGTTCATCTTCATCTATATGAAAGTGTTTAGTCTATGAGTCACCGAATTCTCCATGACCTTGTCGAGTCCGTCTTCATGTGGTTGGGACATTGCCTTGAACTCGCCGAGTCCGTTCATACACTCGCCGAGTTCCATGATTTCCAGGTCTCTAATGAGCCTAGAAAACTAACAGAAGGATTTGATGGAGAAATTTTTGGGTTTTGAATACTACAACATCCTATGGTGCACATACAACCCTAAATGCCTTTGATCTATGTTTTCTCTAATTATATATGTAATAGTGTTTCCAAATCATTAAGCCTATAACTAGCATACAAATAACATATGTATAATAAAACAAGTTTTAGACATACCTCTTGATGTTGTTGATGTTGCTAGGAAGACTTTTTCCTTTAAGAACTTAGTGCCTCAAGTGTTGCACCTCAAATGGAATCACAACACATCTAGGACAGAGGATGACATTTTGAGAGAGAATTCCATGCACCAAAATCATCCATCTTTCCCTAAGAATGGAAGCACACGAAAATGATCATGAAGTAACATATTTATATGTAGGATTCCGAAGGCCATAGGTAAAACCCAAATCCATACCCATGGGTTTTATGATCCATGGTAAATGTGGCCCAACTCTTTATGTATCCATACATAAACTTAGTCCAATATGGATCATAAGCCCAACACATATAAATATATCCAATTACCATAATTAGTCCTCATAGATTTAATTAGTCTCTTTTGATCGCTAAATTAATTCCAAACTAATTCTTGATCAATACTAATTAAATCATACGATTTCATATTAATATATTAGAACTTATAATATATTAATAAATCCTATATAACCTCTTCTCAAAACTCCATCCTAACAAATTGTCCTGATGATATGCAACCCAAATGGACCATGCCACTCTCGGGTCGAGTACATACCAATAATAGTTATGGGCTTAGACATCTAATCCAACAGTCTCCCACTTGGATAAGTCTAAAAGCCGTTGTCGAACTCTGACCTTGTCAATGACGTGTCCATTAGATAAGGGATCATATATTCCTCCATTCTAGATATCATATGGACTGAGACATCGATTATAATCATTCTCTCTGTCCATCTGTTGTTTCCCGATTTCTGATTTATGACGACCGACTAGTTGAAAAAAAACCAAATCATTCCAGGCCCGGCCGAGCACTTGGGGTTGTCATCACTAAATCATCGAGGGGGCCACAAATATCGCTTTTATCCTCATGGGGGTAAAAGGAACAGATAAACTTCGACCCAAATGCTTGCTTGTACTTACTCATCAAATTACACACAATGATATGTTTTATAACATCCAAGTTACTAGTGCGTTTACATATGTCAATGTGCAACCGACGCGAAACTACAACTCACACGTCTCCGTTTGAAGAATATAAGATATTATCGTCTCATGATCACTCGTGATAAAATCCATGAAGTGATTCAGATGAGCGTGGGTTGAATCCAATACTCGAATCTTATTCTAGGAGACTCATGAATACTGCAGCTATGTCTAAAGCACCTAGACAAACTACAGACCCATTCATGACAGTCTTGCCTTAATACCTACTTCCAAAGTATGATCGACTGTGGATGGTTTGAATAACCTAGTTATTCGGGAAGTCAAAACATGCAAAATGAAACATAAGAACAACACTAATCCTATATGACCCCAAAACTTTTGATTCATATTGATTACTCATTATTCATTGTATGATGTTTCAAATAATCAACTTAATACTTGAACTAAAACAATAGTTGTCCCATGCTACAAGCATGCACACTATATTTACCTATGGTCGTTTCTTTGTGGAATAGATCAATTGAAAACATTTCAATGATGCTCATGTCACAATTCCAAATCCTTATGATAAATGTAAGAATACAAGATTCTTTTCCATTTACTGAAATCTGTTAGATTCTAAACTTATATGCAATGATCTTCTTGTAATGACTATGCACAAAAGTCACATAGTTTTGGCAACGGACATTACAAAATATTCCAATGGAGAGCAATTCCATGGAAACGAAGTCTCACATTCAAAGTACATTCCTTTCTTGCATTAAGTTTTTTAGTCTTACACAAATTTAATGAATAAATTCCACCTATGGAAACATTTCCATATTCCCATTTTGACTATCACTTCTGAACAAGAGTTGCCTCTTTCTAGAATATGTCAATATGGTCATTCCAAAATTAACACTATACTTTCAACTTTCCATTAGCAACCAATCTTTGGTAAACCTCAGATTATCCTTGACAATTGCTTAATCATTTTAGTCATATCCAGTTCTAGTCCTTTTCCTTCTTAATTCCCTAAGCATTTGAAAAAATTAGAACGCATGAATATTACAACACATATAATCGATCCTATATCTAAAGCATATGGGACACGATTCATGATGTCTCATATAAAGACATGATACTAGACCAGTCTTTTGCTATAATATTTCTATTTCTATTTGCCATGTTCTCATAATTCGAATTATGAAAAGGTATGCCGTAATCATAATCGAATTTTAGAACGCAAATAATATTTCCAGATATAGAATTTCCTTATGTTGAACCATTCCAACATAACATTCATATATATACTTGACTAAATTTGATCAAAGTCTCAATCTAAGCTTTTAGAATTGGGATGAAGTATAATTTCCTCTCCCTTAATTATAGCAAAACAACTTTTCAAACCCTGCAACTTTGCAAATTGAAATTTTTGTTTTCTATAATTAACATTGCTAACTTGCATTAACATAATAATCATGCTCACACTAACATGATAATTATATCCTTATTAGCATAACACTGATGCTCCCACTAGCTTTGACATGTACCTAGAAATCAGCTGGACTTCTAGAGTTCAATACTTGTTGACTTTCTTTCCAAAGTTCAGATTTCTGATACTTGATGCTCCGATAAGTCTTTACGAGACTTCTCACGCCCCATACACTTTTCAAATTAAATAGCACATGTGTGTGCTTGAACCTTTCAGAACTTAAACTAATAAGTGCCGAATGTTCAAACTATTTGCCATTTCTCACAATTCGAACTATGAAAAGGGATGCCATAATCATAATCGAATTTGAGAATGCAACTACACAACTGCCAATTCTAATCCTTTAAAATCTACTTAGTGAAAGCGTTTCCTCACCATCATTTTCATGATTCGGAGAGAAACCTTATGACACTTAGATTTTTATAGTGTATTTGTTCCTATCCATATGAATTTGTCAAAACCATAATCACAAGACAAGGTTAGTGACAAATCCAAGCTCATATGGATTGAACTTGTTCAATCTTAATTTCTTGCTACCCGGGAGCACAAGGGCCTACCATTGCTTCCAGGTTGTTATGAAAACAATTAAGAACTCATAGAACTCACAAGCATAGTTAACTTTAACCGGAATGGGCATAGAAATAAGAAAATGTTAACACGATAGGTTACAAACCTCAAGTCTTGTGCTAGTGATTATCGATAGGTTTACTCTTGATTAGTTCTTGAACCTTTTCAAGATCTTTAAGACTCCCACTGACCTCTTGACATATAAGATTCTCTATGTCAAGAACCATATCTTGACAAACAAATATTCAAGAGTTAGTGCGGATTCTTATAAAGAGATGAACACTTTACACAATCGGTCTTAGTTGGTC